CCTGGGGCGCGTTTCACTGCTCCCCTCGATGGTCCGGCCGGGGCCCATGTCGCCTGCTCTTACTGCCCCTCGATGGACGTCATCATCATGCTGGGCTTGATGTCGGTTGTTGATGACGCTATGAGCGTCTCGGTTTGGCCCGAGCCGCTTGCGCACAGGGGGTCGGTGTGGAGCGGGCACCGGGTCAGGCCGTGGTGCAGCTGCGGCCTCCTGTTCCGCGCCGGTGACTGTAGTGGTGAGCGGATGGAGTAATTCGTCTGGTGCGTCCCTGCTCCCCTGGTGGGGAGAGAGGCCACGAGTTGGTGTCGCGACATGGAGCTCTCCGCCTGTTGAACGGCGGTGGTTTCCACCAGCGCTCGGAGGTTCCAGTGGATTGCCTGCTCCTAGGGGTTGACATGTTCTAGAAGGCCGCGCAGAAGCATCGCCGCAGCGGTGATGTTCTAGCTAGCCCGAACGAATTGTGGGGGATCATTCCCCCCATCCATGATGTCGCACCGGACCTGGCGGGCGCGACCCCGGGCGCCGCTCACCGGGTTACGTGCGCGTGGCGCAGCGTACTACGCCGAGCACTCCGGCGCAAGCGGCGCCTGGTTCTACCACCTTTGTTGTAGCTCCTCGCCGTGCTCCTGGGCACACACGAGGGCCTCCACGCGAGGGTCCAGAGGGGTGTGGGTTTATAGAGACTCAGCCACCACCGGCGGCTGTCCCGGAGCGTTCGCCATAGCGCACTCCTAGGACAGAGGGTGGCTAAGTGCCACGACGTCGCCGATGCTGGAGCCGTCGCTCTCAACCTCGTCATCCATGAGGTCATGGAAAGAAGCGGGAGCATAGCTCGCCATCCCCATGAATTCGGATGTGAGATGGGGCGGTGCCAGTATCCTTCGGAGCCCCCGTGTGTACGCGTCCACGGGGGACGCGAGGCCATAGGGGAACCGGTCGCATGGCGGTCGCGGCGGGGACAAAGGGGTCCCTCCGGAGAGTCGATAGAAAATATGAAAAAGCGAGTAAAGAACACTATGTACGTGACTCACAGTGGGGTTTGAGCCCAGCGTGGACTCGGAGCGAAGCACAGGCGTCTCGTCGTTGAGGTCGTCGGGTGGCCTGGAGCCGACGGAGGGTGCTCTTCCTCCGATGGGCACCGGGGCAGGTGCCTCCCCGCGGAGGTCGAAGCACGCTAAGTCGGTCGGCAACGAAGTCCAGGCTTCCGAAGAGGAAGGCCTGGGACGGCTCGAAGACGGGAGGAACCCACATCCCAACAGGTGGGAGCGCGGGAAACTCCAGCGAACCGAAGCGAGTCGTATCGCTTGAGCCCGTCATGCTGAAGATGGCGGAAAGGTGGGCCATCCGATGACCAAAAGCGTGAACGGACGGTGTCTTCTCCACGGACGGCGCCAACTGTCGGTGCGAAAAGTGACCAACACGTAAATATTTATAGTTTTGCCGTACGTTGTGATCGGATGTGGCCTAGCACTCAAAGACATAGGGTTTATACTGGTTCAGGCAACGTGCTCTACGTTCAGTTTGAGTCGGTCGGTGACTTTATTCCTGAGCCCAGGTGCTCGAAGTTTGCTGTGGGGTTACAAACGAGAGGGAGTAAGATAGGGGGTATCAGAGGTCCGGTCGGACTCCGGATCAAAGGGCCGAGAGTGACGAGAGCTCCGACGTGCGCTAAGTGTTCGAACGTATTCTTCTGGTTTGGCCAATGTCGACGCCTACCATACTGTAGGACAAATGTCGACACCCATAACACTGTTCGTGCTCTGACACGTCTGGAAGGTTGCAGAAGGGCTTCTGACATGACCTGATAGTACTGTCCCGCAGGTGTGCAGGGTACGGTCCTCGGTATTGCGGTTTGACTTTAGCGCCCTGCCTTACTTGCTCCGCCTGACTCTTTGGGTCCTTACCGAGTGGGCGTCCCCGTCCGGTTGTTTCCCAGTTGGCTCCGACCGCGACGGTTGGAGAAGAGCTATAAGCAGAGGTTCGGTGTACTCCCGGTCGGAGAAGCGAGCCGGAGTCGGAAACGAGCGTCATCCCTTCTTGGTCAGGCCATCCGATCGGAGAGGCGGGCCGGAGTCGGAAGCGAGCATCGTCCCTCCTTGGCCAGGCCTTCCGGTCGAAGACTAGATCGTCCTTTCGGCCTGTTGTTGGGTATCAGGGCCGGCCTAAGAGTTGCACGTTGTTCGTAACGTTGTCTGCTGGGCCGAGCTTTTGCTGGGAAGCAAGTCCATTAAAGACCCCAGGTTTATGAACCCGACGACTGTTTTATTATGAGAGAAAAATATTATTCATTGACTGAAAAAATATGACTTATAAACTAGGCGACCTGCCTTCACTGCTGCTGAAAAGAAGGGCTGGCCACAGATTCAGTAGAGTAGTAACATTCAGACTTCGCTGGACACAGATTCAGACTTAAGGCCCATATCCGTCAAGTCCCTTCAACCTGAAATCGTTGGATTTAGCTGCAAATGATCAGCGAAAGCACAGGAATTAAATAACATTTGTCAATAAAAACAAATTGGTTCACCTCTCAATATTATATGTAGTGACAGTTTCACTGTTTCAGGATATGTCAGGTTCATCATGTCTATGTTTGGATCTGGTGTGATTAAAGTACGTGCTGAGAAATCAACACTCTTGCCCAACATGTTTTCTCTAATCCGGCCTTCTTTAGCTTTCAGTCTGCTACAAATTGATTTAACAGGCCTTCTAGAACACTGCGTGGCCCGAGCATTCCCACAAAAAAGAAAGGTCGGTAGAATTATCATATACATGCAAAACAACATTTTATACCTCTCTTGATGGTATCAATCCTAATGTGCTGGGCGATCTGGACAGTTCGAAATGATTTCATCTTCAAGGGGGTGCAACCAAATATTTCTAAGGTTAAGATGGTGTTTGAAAAAGAAATGGGGATCTTATCCCTAAGGACAAGGTCTAGGCACGCTTTAACTTTTCATTTATGGATCCAGAATCTGTAGTAACTTCCCTTGTATCCCTTATTTTCTTCTTTTCTTTTTTTGTCTCTTAAGCCTCTGGCTGTTTGTTTGTACTCTTTTGTTCCTTGCTTATTTTTAATAAATTGCCTGTAGGGGCTGGCAAGCCCCTCCAGTTTCGCCCAAAAAAACATTTTATACCTCTGCAACTAAGAGATTAATCGAAAAGCAGGATCATGTTTACACCTTTTCATCTCCCAGCCACTGGCAGGCTGCATACACTTTACTGCCACAGCATCACAATTCTTCTGGTAGTTTATAAAATTTCTCTTTTCAAAATGTATCAACTCCTCCATTTCTTCTTTCCAGATCTGCAGTCTAGAGTAAGGAGAAGATCATAAACAGATACAAGCTAACTTAAGCACATGAAGATACACCACTTGAATACAGGGATAAATACAATGTGTCAGAAATTCAACCCTGGTGTGAGGAATTTTTTTTTTGGAAGGTCGTGTGAGGAATATTTGTCTGGTGGATGTCATTGCCATCTTTTTTCTTAAACGAGTTTTACCTCTGCTTTTCAGAAAGCAACAAGTACATAAGTCTGCTGGGGTTACCAGCTACAGCAAAGAGCAGCAACACCTATTCTATTACAGAATTCAGATTTCAGCTACATCTGACAGCATAACAGAACTAGGCTGAAAGTTCTTGAGCCAACCCATGACTGCATCCTACATAGGCCTGTTCATTTGGACTTGTTTGGCTTATAAGCCATATTTTTTCAGCCAACGGTACTTTCAGCCATGGCTTATCAGCCAAACAAGCCCAAACGAACAGGGTGAAACACTTCTTATCTCCTTAAGCAAAATCTTCCACCTCTGCATCAAGGATACAGCAATGTAGAGCACGTCAGTTGGAGATTTAGGAAATTTTTTCTCTATCGCCATCTTATTCCTGATGGTCCACATAGCCCAAGCAAAACCTGCAAAAGCAAACATAAGCAATCTGATTGGTAGGGGCTCCTTGCCCTGTAACCAAGTGCAACTAAACTCCTTCAGTGAACGAGGAACATTTTGTAGCTTGAAAACTTCAGCAATCACACTCCAAATGAATTTGGCAATGTGGCACTGGAAGAAAATATGATCCACAGATTCCGCTAAACCACAGAGGCAACAATTAGCAGTCTCTTTCCAACCCCTTTTGATGAGACTTTGGGCAATCTGTAACTTGTTATTAAAGATTTGCCATAAAAAGAACTTGATTTTCAAGGGAATCTTTCCTTTCCAAACATAACCAGCCACCCTGCTAGCTACCCCTCTGTCACTAATGAATCTATATAAGGATTTAGTGGAGAATGTCATCTGGACCCCTTATGTAGTAGTTTCTCCCGATCTGGTGAAACTAAAACAGACAATGTTAGAGCACGGGGGGAAAAAAAGATGGTGAATCCGTCCACATTGAGAAGGCGAAGAAATGGCCATAGAAATCAGTAGTTTGTACCTTGAGCCTGCGAGAGAAAGCGGACTGGTAGACAAGATTTCAAACGATTTCATACAAGCCACCTGAGCTAAGTTTCCAAAGCTGCCAAGAGCAACAACCAATCGAAACTAAGAAACATCTAAGTGGAAAAAAAAAATAACGGAAATAGAGGGATGGATGGATGGACATTACTGAAACAGCAATACTGTATTCTTCAACCAAAGGCTCCTTCGTCGAGTCAATTTGTGAAGGGTCGTCAGTTGAAAGAGAGACGTTAAAACCTCTTAAGAAATATGTTGGGAAAGGGTTCCGGTGATAGTCGACAAACAATGAGTTGTTACTTAAAGGAGACATTGCAAGATCAATCTGAATACAGCCAAAACAGAAGATATATTAGTTAGTTTCTCACAAGCAACCATATGAAAATCCAATTGATGTCCAATCAACCAAAAAAAAACTATCACTAGCCAGATATTTGCTATACCCAAATCTGCTATTTGAAGCCCACAACTGAAGAGATTATTACCTGTGGCTGTTCACTGCCCATCCGGTTGACATTTCAAATAAACTTGTCCGATAGATCCTGGTTCAGCCAGCAGCTGGCTTGGCGGACATACAGCCGCCAGCTTGAAGAAGTTCTTCACTTGCGTTAGATTCTCTGCTGCAAAGATCATCCTCCCGTAGTGCTAGTCCTCCACGTATTTGCTGCTGCTTCCCCTGCTTCTTCTCGAGGAAACGGAGCCAGAAGACGTCGCGGGGCACCGGTGGTGGCCTGCCGGCCTGGAGGAACTCGCCGTCGCAGCGGAGCACGCTCAGCACCTGGTTCGCCACCGCCCGCGCCTCGTTCCCGCCCAACTGCCACGGCTGGCGCGGCGAGACGGGCTTGTTCCCGTCCCACCACGGCCGCTGCGCGAGCTTGTCCTTGTTCCCGCCGCCACTCACGACGCGACCGTGCATCACGGGCGGCTGCAGCAGCGTCGCCATCGCATCGAGCTTCTAGGAGAAGCCGAGGATGACAGCGACAGGTGACTGGAAAAGGAGCGGCGGCGGTGGTGGACGCGCTGGACTGGGTGAGTGGTGATGATGGCGCGCGCGACGGGAAGAGCGAAACAGGCCCACATGTCGGCTTTCTTTTTGCGAGGAAAGGTATTTAGGAGGACTGTAGGAGAGGAGAGAAGAAATGACAAGCTCCCCCAAAATCTCCACTCCCGGAGTGAGTTCCCCACCACCGTCCCCAAATGTCCCGTCACCACCACGCCGCCGCCGCCATCGCTGCCGTGCTCTTCCTGCTCACGCCGCCTCCTTGCGCTGCCGACCCTAACGACGAGCGTTGCCTGTCCCACCTCCACCAGTCCCTCTCCGATCCCTCCGGCGGTCTCAACTGGACCAAGGCGGCGATCTCGGCGCCGTGCGACGGCTTTTTCTCGCACCTCCAAGGCGTGACCTGCAACAACGGGCGCGTGTACAAGCTAGCCCTCCCGGAGCTCTCGCTCGGGGGCACCATCCCGCCGGAGCTCTCCAACTGCACCAACCTCCAGTCGCTGGACCTGTCCGCGAACGCGCTGTCTGGCACCATCCCGACGGAGCTCTCCGCGCTGCTGAACCTCGCCGTGCTCAACCTCTCCGCGAACGCGCTCTCCGGCGCCATCCCGCGGGAGCTCGCCAGCTGCGCCTACCTCAACGTCATAGATCTCCATGGCAATCAGCTGTCCGGCCCCATCCCCGACGAGCTCGGCCTCCTTGTCCGGCTCTCGACCTTCGACGTCTCCTACAACCGCCTCTCGGGCCCCATCCCCGTGCTCCTCGCCAACCGCACCGGCGCCGGCAGCACGGCAGCCGTCGGGACGGCGAGGTTCAATGCCAGTTCCTTCGTAGGGAACAAGGGCTTGTACGGGTACCCGCTGCCGCCGTTGCGGACGCGGGGGCTCTCCGTGCTCGCCATCGTTGGCATCGGCCTTGGCAGCGGGCTGCTCAGCCTTGTGCTCAGCTTCTCCGCCGTGTGTCTGTGGCTTCGCCCCACGGACCGGACTGCGACCACCCCTGGCGAGGAGGGCAAGATCTCCCAGCTCATGCCGGACTACTGAATCCACTCAAAGGTTGCATCATTGGACATATAATTCCTCGTAATTGAACTGAACACGAGAGATTTTTCATCTTGGCTTGCGACAAAGGTTCCATCTTGGATAGATTTTGGTTGGATTCTGGAACGGGATCCGAGGAGCATAGCAGACATCGTGCTGCAGGCTGGTTGTGTCAGTAGTTGATCTTCTAATTGGAGACCGAAATTGCTGTAGTTTTTAATAACTAATGATTTTTTCTGGTTGTGTTTTGCTTTTTATTTATTACTGTTTGGCATGAGTGACAGTTGGACTTGTGCTGAGGAATATTTGTCTGTAACAACTGGTCTTGCTCCCTCCGAATGCAGCCCTACTTCGATCCTTTTCTCTTTTCCATTTCTATTTCTATCTCTGTAATAACCTATTTCTACTAATATTAAAAAGTAGCTAATTTTCTAAGTCCATCATTAGGTTAAGTTAGGCCAGCCCAGTTACGTGGGCCTAGGTATAGTCGTGTTATTTATGGATTGAATATAAGAAAGAGAAGCGTGATGGTGGATCTTTCTTCTTCATATAAAATCAAAAGGCAATCAATCAACCCCAGACAAAGTGCTGCTGGAGGGAAATGCTAAAGTCCTATTCCGAATTCTATTAAAGTTGTATTCGTACTAAAAAAACTCAAAGGTATACTCTACTTTCCATCTAGTACATAGGATTCGATCTATTGATTATTAATTCACTTAGGTCTTGATTGGATCCTTATAAATAAATTTATTTTAATAATTATAATTTTGACACAGATTAATTAAGCTAATATAGTTGTATATAGAATATATGATATTACTGTTGGCCATACGAGAGAGATATTTATGTATTGTATTTTTACCGTAGGGGAGCGAGTCGAAGAGCGTGTTATAAGTTGCAAATTAGAAACATATGCCCTGTTCGCTTGGCTTATAAGCCGTACTTTTTCAGCCAACGAACAATATTTTTCTCTCACAACAAATCAGTCAACAGTACTTTCAGCCATGACTTATCAGCCAAGCGAACAGGGCAATAGTATGGTGATTTATATAATCAATTTTCATCTTTTACCCTATTAATTTGAGATATGCTTATATGTGAACTTTAAAAAATTATGAAATGTTAAATTCTAAGCTAAATAGCCTTATCCATTAAGTAGATTTCAGTTACTCCAAAATAAAAGAATACAAACGGCCCTATAAAAATAGAAATACACTAGCTCCATTCGCTGCAGCAGTTGTTCTACAGTGATACATGAGTTTTGGGAGCTGCAGCCACAGCTGCCACAGCAACTGCAAAACTTCTTTATTTTATTCTTAAATTGAAGTTTCTTCTTTTTCATACAAATTAGGTCGTTTATGTATGCCTCGACTATTGCATCCGTTTCACCATATAGCTTATCCAACATCCCATAATATAATAAATAAAACAATACACGAGCACTATATAGGACGTAGCATAATCTCACATCGTTGGATTAAAATGGGGAATAAGTATGCTCATAACAGCTCAATATGCCTATCGGAGAACGACGTTGCAAAGGCACATATGGCTAGATATGGTGGAGGCGCCAAGCACTTGGGCAACACATAGGAAAAATATCATGGGGCAAAGACCATTCATGGGAATTCTTGGTGAAAATCAAGAAAAATATCAATCACAGAAGTATAAAAAACTTGATGAATTCCCACCCGTTGCTTTGGGAATTCAATGGCCAATTTGATGGGAATTCAAAAAATAATACAATGATGCACTTTGATAGATGGCTAAAGCAAAATGGTTGTAGTCTGGCAAATTTAAGTTTTCCAACATTGCAAGCCCACCATTGGTAATAACAACAAAATATAAAAAACGAGCACTGGTTTAAGTAACCATCAACGCATGGATATTGTATGAAAATAATTAGTAACTAGCCAGTTCCCCCGCGCATGGCGAGAATACCATAGAAACTAAGAATATTTGTGTTCCATTATTTTCAAAGTGATGTCTATGTGATCGCAAGTAGTAAGTAAACATGAGGAATAATTCAGCATGCATAGTTGCTGCCTCATAAATCGACAAATTAAGGTCCTGCAGTTCCCATGCTTTTATGTAAAAGAGAGGCAAACAACAAAAGACTTGAGAGGTGTTGAACATCTGAATTAGAAAGAACAGTAAACACATAAGGAGGCCATTCGGTAGTTGTTGCAGAGATTTCAAGCCGAAGCAAGGAACAACGTGTACCATTTCAAATATGCTCAACTACGACAACCAAAACTGAATTCATAATAATATTTTGCTGGCAGCGTCATGGCCAGAATTGTGAAGCCAGTATGCCTTAATTGGAGCTAATGAATATTAAAAATGCCGCGGGCGCTAGGCTCAAATAACTGGTAAGAAGAATCAACATATTCATTCATTATTATCGTCTGAAAGGAGCATCGGAACAACGAACAGACGCAGTTGAAATACTAATTAATGGTCAAAGTAGATCAGAAAATAGAAATCATTTGTCGTGGCTTGTGGGGAGGCTATGGTGTAAATGTCAGTTTGAAAAAGTCAAAATTACCTATGAACTGATTATCTATAGTAGGTACAACCTAAGCCTTATTCTTGCTGTTTAAAGTAGATGAAACATCAGGATTGAAATCACATTCACTGAAGTGTGCCATGCAGCATCCTGATCCTTTCCTTTGAGCCTACATCGAGGTACTTTTGGATTTACTCCCAATAGCACGCAAGAACGTTGCTGATGTAGAATTGGCAACAGCCTACAGCGTTAAAAAGTTTTGCGTAATTATTAATTGACGATTTTTAGGAAGAGAGGCGTATTATTCTCATACCAGAAGTTGAGAAATATCTTATGCCAGGAAGAAAAGAAGAATGATAACTGTTCAGTTGATTCACTGCTTTTTATCGATGGGAAAAAATAAAAAAGGCATGGAAATAAAAAATTGGAACTGTCCTCAAGGAATGATCACAAACCTTTGCTAGTAGAGTTTTCCCTGTTCCAGGTTCCCCATATATTGGAGGCCTGATCCCAATATTCTAGTTCAGGATGTGTTAAGGGAAGTTGAACTGTTTCTTCGATTTCTTGAATCTGAGCATCCAAGGCACCAATGTCAGCATGAGACTGGAAAGGTGCCTCTTGAACTTCCATGACAGAAATCATAGGATCAACTTCGTCTCGCAAAGTACCAACCACCGACAGAACCTAAGGGAAATATTTGGCGAAGCTGTTTACTAAATAAGCATTGAAATGAAGAAAGTACACAAAACGCAGAGTACATCTCTTTAAGAGCAGCATCGTGTATGCTAAAACAATCCTGGATAAAAAAAACTGCTGTATATACGAAGGCAAGAAGGGCGGGCCTGGTGCAAGCGGTAGAGTCTTACCGCCTGTGACCGAAAGGTCCCGAGTTCGAGTCACAGTGTCATCGCATTGTACAGGGGAGGGTAAGGTTTGCCACTGACACCTTTCTCCAGACCCTGCACTGGGTATATACGAAGGCAAACATATCAGTAATAACACAACAGCCTAAAAACTATGCAAGTGATCTATAAATAGAAACCAAACAAACTATGTTCTTTAGTTTCCAAAGTATATGCCAAACTGATGCATGTGGCGGGAAAATGAATTATTTTCTTTATAGGCCCCGTTCGTGTGCCCTTAAATTCGGTTTGATCCGCTTCTTTTTTCATCCGGAACAGTGTTTTCCTCTCATAAATTCCTCCAAACCATCCAAATTCCTCCAAAACCATACCATCCGAACGGGGCCATAGTACAACAGAATGTACGATGCAAATGATCTATAGATAGAAACCAAACAGACTATTGTTCTTTAGTTTGCAGCTGAGTTCACATCAAACAAATATATTATACAACCATAACTGTGAATTCCCGGTCCATAAGCGTAGATGAAC